GTTTGAAACGTGCTGGGTGCACGCTGGACTAAGGTGTAATGTAGATAGGTGGTCGCAAGCGGGCGAGAGTGGGGGAAGGCAGATCCTTCGCGCCACTCTGCCGATCGCCGAGGCGGCCGAGGCGGCCGAGGCAGCCGAGGCGGGCATGTAGCCCTCAGAGGGCGAGGAAGCCACCGTCGGGAGGTCCTGCTGGATGGGTTCTAGGTTTTACCTAGAACTTGCTTAACAATTAAAATCAATCATGTTCATGTATCTACTTGTTATCATTCTCCTTACTTGGAAGCAATTCCTACCCCTAGTACAATTTTGGAAGTTTGACGAACTTGATGTGACGAGAAATTTGGTTCAAAGTTTGGCTGAAGTACGGAGTTGGAAATGAATGGAGTGTCGTAGACACTTGTAGTTGCACCATAAGATATTACCTGAGTATAATTTTCATTACACTTTACTGTTTTTAGTGGTCTGAAGTAGACAATTGTATCTTAGATACTTGAGTGACTGAATCACCCGGTACTTACCATGTTCAGCTCCTGGCTCCTCCTCCAGGGACAGGTCGCGGACGACCAGGTAATCATCGACACAGGTGTCACCTCCATACTCCCTGATGGCATCCATGGCGCGCAACGATGCTTAGGCAAGGGACTCAACAGGCAAAGTGCCGTACGAGCGGCGGTGCGGGCTGATGGCGCCGGGTCCAGGTTGACGTATTCACACCTGGTCTATGGGCGGATGCAGGTTGACATGTCGAGACCCACCGCACCCATAACTTGCACGAACGTGTACCCCCATCTTCAATAGGTTAAGTTAGCCCCATCTCTAACGCCCCTCGGAGCAATCCTCGATAGGTTATGTTAGGCGTTGATAAGACCCACCCCTCCGTCAATCCTCGATAGGCTAGGTTAGGCCCCGTCACTGAGGCCCCTTCGCCAATCCTCGATAGGTTAGGTTGTGTTAGGTGTTGATAAGATCTACGTTCGTTAGGTTGAGTTGGGTGTTGATAAGACCCACCCCATCGTTAGGTTAGGTTGGGTTGGGCTCTGGATAGATGGATGTTAAAATGGGGTTGGATGTTAGAATGGGGGATAAAGATGGCGACCCGTTAGAATGGGGGATGCTTACTACTGAGGACCGCTCCAGCGAAAATACTGGTTTTCACTTAGGTGTTACGCCCACCGTAACGTGACGCCGCGTGGTACCGGCGACATGACAAACTTAAAGTATACTTTAGGTATACCTACCCAAGGGTGTCTGTGGACAGTGAGTCCCCATAGCCTCGGCCGCCCGTCCGCGGTGCGGCAGGGGAAAAATCATGTCGGGCGTAAATTGGCGCGAAAAGGACAAAGACTTAAAATCCATTCTTGCGCATAGTTCCCGACATTATAGCGCCCTGCGCGCGACGTCGTTGCAGCCCCCTCGACGTGTATTTTCATTTGAGCTGCGTTCGGGATAGATCGGTGTCGTCACCCCTGAAAATGAAACGCCCTATCGACCAGTGGAGTCATGGGCTTCGCTAACGCTCAGCTAAAGTGTATCCCTAAGTTAGGGGTGACCACCCCTGTGACACTTTCGCCTCTCAGGGGGTAGTTTGTCGTACACATCCGCCTCAGAGAGCAGTAGGGGGTCATGAATGAAGTGCACCTTTAATCAAAAGTTCAACATGGCAGGACTTTCCGCGCAGCTAGATTCGGGTGTATCTGATAATAACAGTAGCCCCTTGTCGATGTCTATAATATTCCGTCACGTTAACGGTAGTGAGAAACTACGAAACTTTGTGCGTAAATGACAAGTCTATAGGTCACACATATGCGTCAATTTATTTACCTAGATGTAGCAGGTGGAGACTACAAAAGTCAGGAAGGTTTAATCATCACTGCGCTTGCAATGAGAAATGCTGGAAAGTATGGAAGGACAGGCGATCCTTTCGAATTTAGCGTGGGGGTTATTGGCGGCCTTGAACCAATCAAAGCGGAAACGACAGCCGTTGACCAGTTTTGAAGGCAGTGCGTCGCACTGATTTCTGGAACGAAAGAAGATCGTCAATCGATATATATTCTGTAAATTTTTTTTGACATCTTTGATCAGAGGGCAGGTAACAAAATCCAAAATTTTCCATTGTTGGTTTTGAATCAGTTTTTAGCCCGCCCTTCTGCTTTTAAAAAAGCATTATTAGCCCGCCCTTCTGCTTTTAAAAAAGCATTAAAGCGGGCTTATGCAACCGCTCTCGTGTCCGTCTGTCCGTCGTCCGTGTGAGGGGGAGGAGATGAGCTAGAGGTCTGCAAATTTCAGGGTATCTTAGGGGTCACTCCTGGACAACGAAACGCCTGGTGCAAATCCTAGCAACCACCCCTAAGGGGGTGAAAGGGGGTAACAAAGAAATAGGGGTTGGTCTAAAAAGTAGAAAAAAAAATATTTTTTTATGGTCTCCTAAGGGGTAATTCGTGAAAGTAGAGCCCTTTGGGCGAAAATTTTGTCCGTTTGACTATCTTGAAACGTTTGGGCGGTAGAGTGCTTTTTTCGACGAAAATACGGCGAAAATGACCACGTTGCACATAAAGACGTACAAGGAGGCGTCCAATCGTAAAATGTCAGAGGAAGTACCCCCCCAAAACAATACATTCTGAATCAGGAACTTCCCTCGCATTAGCCGTATCTTTTACTGTTTCGGCCCTAGAGGTGGATATATTGAAAACAATGGCAAAAAGTCAAGTTATAAGACTCTTTGACAAACAATACACAATCTAAAAACTGCGCGGGTTCATTTTTTTAAAAAAAATTTAAGCAAAGCAGAAGGGTGGGGTGTAGTCACGGTGTTGCCCCGTTACAGTCTTTTGTCATTTCCAAGGAGCAAATCTCCAGGGCCGCAGGCCCCCCGCCGAACGCTTAAGTTTACTTAAATATGAAAAGTAAATTACCGGTCACATTACTTATTTGATTATGCACTTCAGTAAATCGCGAGACTGAAATGGTCGGGCCGAAGGCCCGACCATCGCCGCCGGCAGGCCAAGCAGGCCCGGCCCCTGCCGAACGGAGTTGCCGGCGCAGCGAAGTGGAGCTGGCAACTCCGTTTGGCGGAAGGGCGGGCCTGCTTGTTAATTCTCTTTCCAATGGTGAAGTCAGTTGTCAGCTTACTGAAAAGATTCAGTGAGTTTTACCTATAGATACCCCCTCTCAAATACGCAGTTTTTGCTTCAACTTCAAAATGTTAGCAATTTAATTTATAGATGAAGATTACAGAAGATTGTGGATTATAGACGTGATTATAAGTGATTATAGGGTCCTGTCCTTTTGATTATATGAGTTGTAGACCCGTCGCCCATACCTCTATTAAGGTGGACCAAAAATCTAGGACAAGAAAACCTTGTTTGGAAAAACGTTCTTCAAAATATGTAAATACAATCTGCAGCAAGGTTTATTTTCGCCAATTGGCAACGCTCATAGCCCGAAGCTAGGTCTACAGAACAGGGCATAAAAGACATGTTTCGTCCTCCTGGGACTCCCCTAGGTAGTCTAGTTATCTCTCAGAAGTTTCGGAGTACATCTAGAAAGGCCCAGAAGTCACTAGCTAGTGCGGTGTCGTCTTCAGATCCGACAAATGACTTTTATGGCAGTAACCGCTTATCTGGTCTCTTATACTTTGACATAGTAAGCAAGTGGACGGTCAGGGGAGCGCATCATTTAAACAGCGCGGGTCCGAAAAGACGAACAGTATATAGGCTGCAGCGTCAGCACGCCCGCGACTAGCGCTGGGGTCCATGCGTTGCATAAAGGCCTTGCCCAGACAGACGTGCTTCGGCCTGCGGACTGTTCGGATAGTGAGAACTTGTCCCTTTAAAGTGTTATGCTTTTCCACTCTTTTAACACACCTCTACGTTTGAGCTTTACACTCAGCCGGTATCTTAGGTAGGGTGATAAAACGTCAAAGAACGGATTCTCGATAGCCTACCATAGCAGGGCGAAAGAATATATTACCTGTAGGAAATTCCACCGTACTGATCACCCCACACCGAGTTGGGGTATGCGGGCCACTGCTTGGGACATCCCTGAGTGAAGATACCCTCTCCTCCGGCTGGCATCATAAGGTCGAAGTGGTTGCTGCGCAAATAATAACATTGTAAATGAGAATTTGCAACGCTCTCAGCGCGTCATTTGTGTTTTCGCCGTCCTTTGTCAGTAATTACTGGGGGACAGCAAGCCTCTTACTCCAGTGACCCCAACTGGAAGAAGTGGCGCGGCAGGCTCGGTCTCTACTGGCGATCGTGGGACACTTATTTACCTCATTAAGTCCAACCGAACCTTTTTCGATGTCGATTTAGTAGTTTGTCGTACACATCCGCCTCAGAGAGCAGTAGGGGGTCATGAATGAAGTGCACCTTTAATCAAAAGTTCAACATGGCAGGACTTTCCGCGCAGCTAGATTCGGGTGTATCTGATAATAACAGTAGCCCCTTGTCGATGTCTATAATATTCCGTCACGTTAACGGTAGTGAGAAACTACGAAACTTTGTGCGTAAATGACAAGTCTATAGGTCACACATATGCGTCAATTTATTTACCTAGATGTAGCAGGTGGAGACTACAAAAGTCAGGAAGGTTTAATCATCACTGCGCTTGCAATGAGAAATGCTGGAAAGTATGGAAGGACAGGCGATCCTTTCGAATTTAGCGTGGGGGTTATTGGCGGCCTTGAACCAATCAAAGCGGAAACGACAGCCGTTGACCAGTTTTGAAGGCAGTGCGTCGCACTGATTTCTGGAACGAAAGAAGATCGTCAATCGATATATATTCTGTAAATTTTTTTTGACATCTTTGATCAGAGGGCAGGTAACAAAATCCAAAATTTTCCATTGTTGGTTTTGAATCAGTTTTTAGCCCGCCCTTCTGCTTTTAAAAAAGCATTATTAGCCCGCCCTTCTGCTTTTAAAAAAGCATTAAAGCGGGCTTATGCAACCGCTCTCGTGTCCGTCTGTCCGTCGTCCGTGTGAGGGGGAGGAGATGAGCTAGAGGTCTGCAAATTTCAGGGTATCTTAGGGGTCACTCCTGGACAACGAAACGCCTGGTGCAAATCCTAGCAACCACCCCTAAGGGGGTGAAAGGGGGTAACAAAGAAATAGGGGTTGGTCTAAAAAGTAGAAAAAAAAATATTTTTTTATGGTCTCCTAAGGGGTAATTCGTGAAAGTAGAGCCCTTTGGGCGAAAATTTTGTCCGTTTGACTATCTTGAAACGTTTGGGCGGTAGAGTGCTTTTTTCGACGAAAATACGGCGAAAATGACCACGTTGCACATAAAGACGTACAAGGAGGCGTCCAATCGTAAAATGTCAGAGGAAGTACCCCCCCAAAACAATACATTCTGAATCAGGAACTTCCCTCGCATTAGCCGTATCTTTTACTGTTTCGGCCCTAGAGGTGGATATATTGAAAACAATGGCAAAAAGTCAAGTTATAAGACTCTTTGACAAACAATACACAATCTAAAAACTGCGCGGGTTCATTTTTTTAAAAAAAATTTAAGCAAAGCAGAAGGGTGGGGTGTAGTCACGGTGTTGCCCCGTTACAGTCTTTTGTCATTTCCAAGGAGCAAATCTCCAGGGCCGCAGGCCCCCCGCCGAACGCTTAAGTTTACTTAAATATGAAAAGTAAATTACCGGTCACATTACTTATTTGATTATGCACTTCAGTAAATCGCGAGACTGAAATGGTCGGGCCGAAGGCCCGACCATCGCCGCCGGCAGGCCAAGCAGGCCCGGCCCCTGCCGAACGGAGTTGCCGGCGCAGCGAAGTGGAGCTGGCAACTCCGTTTGGCGGAAGGGCGGGCCTGCTTGTTAATTCTCTTTCCAATGGTGAAGTCAGTTGTCAGCTTACTGAAAAGATTCAGTGAGTTTTACCTATAGATACCCCCTCTCAAATACGCAGTTTTTGCTTCAACTTCAAAATGTTAGCAATTTAATTTATAGATGAAGATTACAGAAGATTGTGGATTATAGACGTGATTATAAGTGATTATAGGGTCCTGTCCTTTTGATTATATGAGTTGTAGACCCGTCGCCCATACCTCTATTAAGGTGGACCAAAAATCTAGGACAAGAAAACCTTGTTTGGAAAAACGTTCTTCAAAATATGTAAATACAATCTGCAGCAAGGTTTATTTTCGCCAATTGGCAACGCTCATAGCCCAAAGCTAGGTCTACAGAACAGGGCATAAAAGACATTTTTCGTCCTCCTGGGACTCCCCTAGGTAGTCTAGTTATCTCTCAGAAGTTTCGGAGTACATCTAGAAAGGCCCAGAAGTCACTAGCTAGTGCGGTGTCGTCTTCAGATCCGACAAATGACTTTTATGGCAGTAACCGCTTATCTGGTCTCTTATACTTTGACATAGTAAGCAAGTGGACGGTCAGGGGAGCGCATCATTTAAACAGCGCGGGTCCGAAAAGACGAACAGTATATAGGCTGCAGCGTCAGCACGCCCGCGACTAGCGCTGGGGTCCATGCGTTGCATAAAGGCCTTGCCCAGACAGACGTGCTTCGGCCTGCGGACTGTTCGGATAGTGAGAACTTGTCCCTTTAAAGTGTTATGCTTTTCCACTCTTTTAACACACCTCTACGTTTGAGCTTTACACTCAGCCGGTATCTTAGGTAGGGTGATAAAACGTCAAAGAACGGATTCTCGATAGCCTACCATAGCAGGGCGAAAGAATATATTACCTGTAGGAAATTCCACCGTACTGATCACCCCACACCGAGTTGGGGTATGCGGGCCACTGCTTGGGACATCCCTGAGTGAAGATACCCTCTCCTCCGGCTGGCATCATAAGGTCGAAGTGGTTGCTGCGCAAATAATAACATTGTAAATGAGAATTTGCAACGCTCTCAGCGCGTCATTTGTGTTTTCGCCGTCCTTTGTCAGTAATTACTGGGGGACAGCAAGCCTCTTACTCCAGTGACCCCAACTGGAAGAAGTGGCGCGGCAGGCTCGGTCTCTACTGGCGATCGTGGGACACTTATTTACCTCATTAAGTCCAACCGAACCTTTTTCGATGTCGATTTAGTCGTTCTATTGGTGTTTTTCGACGATCCCGTTAGGGGTCGGCTTTAGCAGACAAATTTTGCAATATTAGTGCTTGGCGCGCGCGGGGGGAGCGGTGCGTTCTATGATCGTCCTAACTTTCCGCCGCCGGACAACAAGCGCTACTGTGGCCGTCGAGGCCACGACTCTAACGACGCGCACCTCCGGCTGCTAGGTCAGGGGTCTCACACTCGAGCTATCTGCCGAGCCTCGCCTGCATAGGCCCCACGCATGACAAGCTCTTCGGCAAAAAGGTGCTTTAATGAGTGAGACAAAGACAAACACACACGCTATGCCAGAGAGCGCCGGGCGTGTGTCCAGCGACAGACGACGATGGCTGGGTGCAGCTCAGCTGCAAACAACCCGAGCGCGGCTTTCGGGGACCTCGGATCCACCTTAACGCAAGAGGTGCGCGCCTCTCGACGAGCCGCACTGGGCTCGGGAACCGCGACCCGTACAAAAATAAAGAGATCTAGCAGGTTGTCTCCACGGGAGATAGCGTGGGGCGACGGTGCGACCTCTTTTTGGAGACGTTTTCAAGACAGTGAATAGCCGATCTTAGACAACACGGAGACGACCTCGAGCCGTGAGCCGTGGCGTTTTGGCTCCAGTTGTGTTTTAGTCAGGTCTCGTTTACGATCCCGTTTAGAGACGGCACAGAGCCACACACGACACAGAGAAATCTAGGAATATATTTTACGAGAATTGAATGTGTCAGAACTTACTTTCCGAGGTCGCTGCCAGTGTTGGTAACTTGAACAATTAGACTCTTGCCTGCGAGTGCGGTGTCGGAGAAAGTAAGTTTGTAGCAGGCGCAGCATAGGCTACTCGTGGGCAAACCTGCGGAAATATTCAGAAAAAGCGTCAGCATAAGGCTCGGTAGGATTTCGTTCATTGACCCCACCACCTGATTAACTAAGAGAAGAGTGTCTTTTTTCTGGCATGTACACACAAAAATCTGAACTCTTTGATAGAACCAGGAGGACAAAAGAATAGCTAAAGGAGGGAGCTCACCGTTTACGTTAGCAGCCGCAAAGGCGTAGGCTTGCCCGCCCTTTACGAAAGGACGCTGATTGTTGCACACGAAGGAGGAGCCTCCATTGCAGCCGCTCTGAGTGTTCTCGTCTAGGGTGCGCCTCCCACCGGCAGCGCAGGTCCGCACGGGGTTGTTAACTGCCCCGGCATTGGAGCGCCACGCACAGGTCGGTTTGCAGCAGTCCCAGTAGCGAGTCGTCTTGGCGATACCCGAGCTACTTGTGTAACACTGAATGTCAGAGTTAAGGGACACTATTACAAGCTGTTCTCTTTCAGTACTGAGGCCAGAACATTGGATAGAATCGGATGAAATGGTATCCTGTGGGCGTTTCGTTCTAGGAACACTCAACTTGAAACAGCTAATACAGTACGAACGCGTTGTTGGCGAGACTTTAATTCATAAAATTGCCAATAGCTTTTCTTAGCATTTTCACAGTGTAGTTGCGCAAGCTGCGCGGGTACTACCCTTTTTGCGTCGACTTTCGCATGCACACACTTAAAAGCTTGCGGAACTGTTGTTTGCATTGCAAAGACTTTTGAAGCGTTGTAAAATGCTTCAGATTACGAACTAAATCCTCCGCAGTGCAAACTAATTCTTTGCACCTGACGGAGAAAATTGTTCGTCACGCTGCAAAGAATTAGCTCATATAATTGCAAACAATTTCTTCGCAACTTACGAAGGGAATAGTTTGCAAATGAAAAGGTCCCTGCAATATGCTTCAAAATTCTTTGCAAGAATTTGCAGTGCATGGGGGTGATTGGAAGAATTTGCTGTAGTCTTTCGTCTTACAGGAGTGACCGAGGGGACATCCAAAAATTTTCTGACCTCTAGCTTAAATCCTTCTACACTCTAAATCTTAAAGGACCCTTTTAAATGACGTAATTTCCTTTACTGGATGCATATTACGATAAATCAACTCGTCGTAGATTTGTTGTCTTTTAAGGGTAATCTTGTCTTAAAAACGACACTTTTAACGCCAAAAGCAAAAAACAAAAAAATTAAAAAAAATACAAAATTATCAGTCAAATCTCTAACCAAGGGGCCCAAAAACGTCGGTCAAAACGGACTCATAGGAGGAGACGTGCGCGTGTTTGGTCCGTAGCTATTGAGCTCGTGACTGACTTGCACTGCAAAATGTTGACGCACTTAATGCTTTGCAACATGTTACGAACAATTTTAATTCTTTGTCTCGCAATCCAATTCTTTGTAAGGAGCCCTAGTAACACCCTATGAACACAAAACTGCCACACATAGTGTTATTTTACTCAAGGACGACCTTTAGGCGTCAGAAGATCCTAAATGTTGTTTATCGTTTGTCTGCCATACTTTTACCGTATGTATGTCGTTACCAAACGACAAATTACAAATGACAAATACAAATGGCCATCAGTTTGTGCATTAAAGCGATGCAAATTCGTCTCTAGCAAGCCTGCAAGTCGACGCGTCCTAACAACAATGTTCTATCTGCAGCGTGCGGAATACACAATGTTCTATCTGCAGCGTGCGGAATACACAATGTTCTATCTGCAGAGTGCTGAATACACAATGTTCTATCTGCAAAACGCGGGTTTCGGGACACCTCAAAACAAATGCTTATTACTCCGTAACTGCTCGTTCTACTTCACTTTTGGCAGTCAATAATTTAACATTGGACCTTTACAATTCTTTCCGTTTGCGCAGATTGGCCCTTATGTTTTCCAGTTACTTGCAAACCACACAAAGGTGAAGGGCTGCGCTCAACCCCGCACAGTGGGAGATTTGGCCTCGAAATTGCGACAAAAGTCAAAAATCTAATCTTTAGAATCTACGGATTTTTCTGTTTGATATCGGTAGATGACACCTAAAGTCACCATTTTCCTTCACTTTCACTTCACTTCGATCGCTTGTGTTTCGGCTAGGATGTGTTTAAACCGACCCTTGCGCTTGCCTCCGCCCCACTCGCTCCGTCAGTCGCTTTGGTAAAATGCTTCGAAATTGAGAAAAAGACGGTCTATAAGGACTGGAAGTGACATTTCTTGGTATTTAAAAGATGGGCATCATTTTAAGTCTTATTATTCATGTCAAAGACTTGAGAATAGGAATAAATCATAATTCAAAAGTTCAGATTTGGAGGTAAGGTGTTATCGTATTTTTTCATATTGAGTTATAAATTTAAGTTCCGCCGAGTTCCACTCTAACTCTTGCATTAAACGGTAGCTACGACACTAATAAACGTGTCCCGCTTGACAACAGGTGCCACAAGCTGCCACCTTGGCGATGCTGAGCATTTGAAAATGGCTTTTTTGGTTGGAAGTGCCCGGCTGGCTCTGCCAAAAAAGTGCCACAACATGTAATACGTTTGTGTTTGAACACGTGAGGGTACTTTTACTTGTGGCTGTACCGCGTTCATAAAAAAACAGAACTGAAAACGTGGCAATTATAGTAACGTTTCAGGGGTAGGGTGGGTAGGGTGGACCAATTTTGCACTTTTCTCTAAATTGGCAGGTTTTTGACGGTTTTTGATGACTACCCTAGAAAATTCCGTAATTCCGAATTTTATGCCGATCATGGAAAGATTAGACTTTTGTCGCGATTTTGAACCTAAATCTCCCACTGTGCCCCGTTTTGCAGATAGAACATTGTGTATTCAGCACGCTGCAGATAGAACATCGTGTATTCAGCACTTTGCAGATAGAACATTGTGTATTCCGCACGCTGCAGATGGAACATTGTTGTAAGGATGCGTCGAAGTAGCTAGGTAGGATGCATCTGGTCAAGATGTGCTTAAAATGCACATTTCTATGGTCAGTAGTCCCTTAAACTAGCTCTAAGTACGCCAGACCAAGTCTCGCGTAACAGGCTTCGCGATATCTCACGAAACACTGTTACGCTGCGACGCGCCTGGCGCACATATAGCTAGGCCTGCGGCGCTGACACCCTGGACGAGCAAATGGGAGGGGGAGGGTATAGGGGAACAGGGCCTTCCGGGCCCAAAATTTCACATACTAAAACCATTTGTAGGGGTCTTATTTCTCTAAAATTATGGCTAAAAAACTTCTGCTGTTCGGTTACGGTTTTCATTAAAAGTTCGAATTTTGACAGATTGTTATATAAAAATCAACGTTTTAGTGATACTAGATAATCTAGGGACGCTTAAGCCCAAAAGAGGGTGTGGTTCGCCCCTAATGTGTGGTTTAAGTATTGTTCCCTTTTCAGTTCTGTGCCATGAAGCCTTTTTTACGATTTATTAGACCATTTTTTCTTTTTCACCTTGTTTTCGCCAAGACATGAGCCATAGCGCCAAAACGGACGAAATTTTAGCCCAAAAGGTTCTACTTTCACGAGTAACCTCTTAGGAGCCTATAACAAAATATTTGAAAAAAATAAATATTTTGCAACCTTTTGTTTTTGATTCTTTTAAAAGTCAATTTTTGAGCTAGAGTGCTCATCTTCGAACTCGATCTGTCTTTTTATGATACAAAACGACCCTGAAAATCCCAGATCGCTCTCTCAGTTCATTCTCGAGTTATCGTGCGGACAGACAGACAAACAAACAGACAGACAAACAAACAGACAAACAGAATGAAACTTTTCTGGTCTGTGGAGTAATGGGCTTCGCTAATCGCTCAGCCAATAAACAGACACAGAAATGGCGATATCGTGGACATCATACTCCTCTCGAAGACACTTGCTCAGGAGAAGCATATCCACTTGACACGCGTTGTGAAGTTCATTCCGTAGTGCTCGACAAACACCGACAAGAGGTAACCCATTCAAATATTTGCCTACCATGACAACACATTTAACAACATCTACATTATTTAACCCCATTTCTGTGTTGTTTGTCGAGGTTCGAGCGTCGTCTGCTGCAGCCGACTCAACTTGCGATTGTTTATTTATGCATAAAATGTTATTGAGCTGCTAGAAGGCACAGCACAGCAGAAGCAGCAGACGAGTTTAGTTATCGTCACTCTCTAATTGTGAAGGAAGGAGGGTGGGGTAGATGGGTACATTGGGACAGTAGCAATCTCACATATTTCTAACAGTATTTACGTGCTGAAAAAAATTGACACGTAGCCAATGTTAGCATATTTCATGATGGTATCAGTGTTGAGAAGATTGCACACCATGTCTGATGTACTAGTACGGGGAGTAAGCCCCGAAAAACGACCAAACCTTGCATTTTACAGTAGAGCAAAACCGTTTTGGGGGTATGTAGTAGACACCCATAGGTCACTTTTAAGATGTGGTGCCCACCTCTACACCGCGACTGGACCGCTCTACGGGGGTTGCATACCTAGCAGGGGCAAAACGTTAAAACTACGAAAAATAAGACGCTTTATGGCCAATTTTGGGCTCAATCGTTCCAGATATGAGAAATATAACGAAATATAACGGCCTGGACACTCACTGAGCGGGTTGCCTACCTGTAGGGCGATAAAATATCGCAAAATCTTTAAATTACTTTCAAACTTCTTTGGCGGCTCATACGCGTGTTTATGTGTGTGTGTGCGTATCAGAGGGTGGGTTAGAGTGTGTCAGAGTGTGTGGAGCCGTGTGTATGTGTTGGAAAATGGGTGGGTGGTGGGAGAGGGGGGACAACTCGCTCGTAATCGTACGCATGCAAACGCCTATATGCGCGTCGTGAGTAGTGCTTTTAAGAGAAATGGTTTCGCTGTAGAGCAAAACAGTTTTGGTGGTATGTAGAGGACACTTAAAGGTTTCTTTTAAGATGTGGTGCCCACCTCTACCCCGCGACTAGAACGATCTACGCGGGTTGCATACCCAGGGGGGGCAAAACGCTATAACCACGTAAAATAAGTCTTTTTATGGCGATATTGGGCTCAATCGTTTAATAAATGGAAAATATCACGCAGTATAACGATCTGGCACACATCGAGGGGGTTGCCTGCCTCTCAGGCGTTAAAATATCACAAAAACGCGGTTTAACGGGTTTGCTCTACTGTAAAATGCAAGGTTGAGTGGCTTACTCCCCGTACTATACAGAAAATATCATCAAACGACGATAAGCTCAAAAATCTGTTAAAAGTAAGGTACCTTCTTATTTTATTTTGCTATTTTCAACGCGAACTGAAATGAGATAGCAAATCGCGCAAGTGGCTGGTCAGTAGGTAGTTCCTTACGACGCATTTTGCAAGTAAGGATTTTGAGTTGAATATCGTATAGGGGCCCGTAGACTTATTTTCCTCTGTGAAATCTTGTTGATGGAATTATGTTTCTTTGTGAAGCTACACCTGGACTTCCTTTGTCAAATCTTCGCGGTGGACTTAGGTTCCTGTGTCAGACTATGTCTGGACTTATGTTCCTTTGTCAAATACCACCGACGGACTTACATTCCTTTGTCAGATCATCCATGGACTTAAGTTCCTCTGTCAGATCCACAGGGGGGTATCAATAGACGTAAGTAAGTAACTCTAAAAGCTGTTCTATCTGAGATAGAGCTGCGTTGGACAAGTCGAATAACTAATTTTCAAATTACTAAAGTAAAAGTTACAAGTCGCTCGTCCCTAACTCGAAGCACGCACGGCGCAGCAGCACCTCAGCACCTCTAGAGAAACCAAGTATCTTTGAGAGACGCTTGAGATACCAAGTATCATTGCGCGACTCTAGTGAAACCACGTATCTATCAATCAATCAATAAGTACACCCATTTTTTCTAAGAATGGAGCCTAGGTAAGGCATTTTTGGCGATTTTAAAGGAACTATTTGAGGAAAAATTTCTCTATGAAATTGTAAAGGTTTCCAAATTCATCTAGAAATGAGGATACGTGGTTTCACTAGAGTCGCGCAACGATACTTGGTTTCTCGAGCGTCACGCAAAGTTACTTGGTTTCTCTAGAGGCACTGCGCCATGCGTGCTTTGAGTAAGGGACGAGCGAAGTTATAACTTTATCTCTTAAAAGGCAATTAAATAACAAGTTGCGGAACCCTTGCGTCGCCCCCATGCAAGAAAGGCCGTTCTACGATGGTCGCCCAGAGAATGTTCAATCTACAAGCGTCGTTTGGAGACTGATCGATCTGCATTAGCCCGCCTGGAGAGCACGCGAAGCAACATTTTTACTGTTTTGAGATATTGATGCCATTTTACTTATCTCGCTAAGTTCCATAAAATGGCACCAATATCTCAAAACAGTCAAAAATGTTGCTTCGGACGTTCTCCAGCCGGTCTAATGAAGATCGAACAGTCTCCAAACGACGCTTGTAGATCGGGCATTCTCTGGGCGACCGTCGTAGAACGGACCTTCTTGCCTGGGGGCGACGCTTGGAGGCAGACTTACCTCTGCGGACCAGAAGACACAGGTGAACAAAAACAGGACTCCGATACCTGAAATAAAAAAAAATGTGCATAGTTAAAAAAGGCTCGTGTCTGGGGACTCGGTGGATCGCTGGCAATACAGATCACAAGTGGTACGGGTCATAAGTGCTACAGCTCACGACCGCTATGGGATGCAAGCGCAGGGGGTCACAAGCGCTACAGCTCGCAACCGCTACGGCGGGAATCCGAGTCGGCGAAAATCGACTGTAGACAGAGCCGCGAACAAGATCAAGCCATCGATCTCATCGTGAGACTCGTTCTGATTCATGATGTGCTGTTCATGATGGTACTTCCTCTGATTTTTTTTTATATGAGGCTTTTTTTGTACGTCTTCAAGTAAAGCGTGGACATTCGGCGTATTTACGTCCAAAAAGTACCTCCAGCGCCCAGACGGTGAGCAATATGGGCCAGTGATTCGGACTAAGGGCGCCTAAAGGCTTCTACTTTAACGAGTTACCCCATAGGAAACTTTTTGACTTTTTACCTTTTCTTTGACACCCCCTCTCAGCCCCTTAGAAAAGGACCCTCAAACTCACAGCGCCGCCGAGCCACAGGCGAGGTATGCAACACACCTTACACGCTTCCGAGCATTCGTGTGCGTCCCGGATCTAAAGCCCCGTCTTGGTCTCTTTGACGCGAAATCCATCAACTGCTTGAATGCATGTCAGCCGCCTGCGGCCACCCGCCGCCGCACGAGTAAGTAGTTCGTCACCGCTACCTAGCACGCTACATAGCTTTGGATACGGCCGGCGTATTGGCAACAAGCAGGCCCGCCCTTCCGACAAACGAAGTTGCCAGCTCCGCTTTGCTCCGCCGCCAACTCCGTTCGGAAGGGGCAGAGCATGCTTGGCCTACCGGCGTCGATGGTCGGGCCTGCGCTGCGGCCACGCGATTTGCTGAAGAACATAATCGACTGATGTAGCGGGCCTTCGGCCCCCTTAAACCCGTCATCTTTGAGTTTGCCCCAAAGACTCGAGAAAGGGATGTAACGGTGAAGCACCGCGACTACAACCCACCCTTCTGATTAGAAAACGTTTTTTGGGGCAAGGGGGAGAGTTTCCTTTCTATTTTGCGGTTTTTAGGCCTGTTTCTACATCTTATTGTTCACTATGGCAATTTTTAGCTTATTTTCGTCTAAAAAGACCCTCTAGCGCGTAAACGGTCAGAGATAGAGCAAAACGGACGAAATTTTCGCCCAAAGGGCTCTACTTTGACGAGTTACCCCTGAGGAGACCATCCAATATTTTCGAAAATTAATAAATTTATTTTTTGGCCACTTTTGTGAGAGAAACTCCCTCTAGCGCCCAAACGGTGAGAGATAGAGCAAAACGGACGAAATTTTCGCCCATACACTTTACTTTCTGAAGTTACCCCTTAGGAGATCATCCCTATAAAATAAAAGATTTTTCAACTTTTTGGGCCTTTCCTGTTTTCTTCGATACCCCCTTTCAGCCCCTTAGGGGTGGCTGGCAGGATTTGCCGTAGGCGTTTTGTTTTGTGGGAGTGACCCTTGAGATCCCCTGAAAATTTGAAGTCTGTAGCACATCTCCTTCTTGTGGAACAGACAGAAAGACACACATACAGACAGGAGGTCGTTTGCATAATCCCGCTAGATAGCTTTTTCAAAGCAGAAGGGCGGGCTAAAAACAATACGTTTGATTTTACCAATTTTGGCTGCCGCGCGGCCCGCGACGGTGGGCCCCTGGAGACGCCTGGCCACACGGAAGAAAATAAAAATCGGTTCCGTGCTTATCGATTTAGCATGCAAATTTGGCACCCCTGCCAAAAAATTAGCTATAGGATAAAATATTTAGCTGTACTGCTAAATAGTATTGGCGACACAGCTAGTTCATTGCTTCAGTTTGCTGTACAACTAAAAGTTTAGCACTAAAGCTAAAAAAAAATAGCTGGGCCTATGCTGACCAATTTTTTGCAATAGTGCTAAAAAAAAATAGTTAGGGTGCCATATTATTTTTTTTGCGTGCAGTCGTGAGCTCGGATTCACCATGTCGGATGTGTAGTAGGACCCATATGGTCACAATTTAAACCCGAGACCTCTCCTCTGACCCCACCGTGTCAGCACTGCAGAGCCAACAAGATAGCGGGTCGTCGCGCGCCAATTTCGAGCCCGCTTATAAAATCGCGATGCGCGTCGGGTAAACTTTATCGCACAGAGCTCAAACTTTGCACCGGGTCTCTATTAGGTCCAATCTTTCATTTGAGGTGCCGCCCTCTAAAATCGCCGACTTCGAACACCAAATTGGAATGGCCTACTAACCGTGCCCCCGACGTCACTCGCCGTTTGCAGCAAATAATGCCGACGTAGCCCTAACTTTTTATTGCATGAAAACCGAGAAAAACTGAGAACTAGGAGACATGGAACAAGGTAGAATCAAAACTGAAGAATTGAATAAGGAAAAATACAAAACGTAACCATTTCGATTTTGAGTGTCATTTCTTATTTTTGGTTTTTTTCACATATTTCAGTGCCCCCTCCCCCATTTCCCCCTCCCAAAATAAATTATCTACTCGGTTGTCTACAAGATATTTTGAAAGTAACGGAAAGGTTGTTTTATCACTATTCTGGCTTCAGAAACCGACTAGAGTATGGAAAGTTGTCGTTTATTCACAAACCCAAAAATTTGATTTGTTTAGAGAGGCACCTTTTTACAAAATATCTACCTAGTTTTCATCCACTACCTATAACCAACGTTGGATGGTTCACATTATGCAAGCAGAACTCACCTGAGAATTTGACAGCCATGGTGACAGACAACGCTGCAAGCCTTTCAATGTTTGACTTTTATACTGCGACAACAGATGTGAAACAGCTGCGAACTAACTGCCCATTATCAAGTACCGTGACAAAAAGTGACGTACCTCGCTCAACCTCGCTACTCGACCAGCTAATCTCTAGACAGCTGCTCACGACCTGCGCATTAACCTGGGTAATGGAGCTACGCGTTGTTATCTGTGACGTCACTGTTTGTATCGCTGCACTGGACCAACCGCTAGGAACGGAGAAAGGCAACTCATTGGTTTAGGTAGCAATTAGCTTCTTACCTAAACGTTGAACGTAATATTTACAGATAAATAGAAGGAAGACTTTATAAGAGGACAGGGGCAGCCACACAGAGTACCTACCTACATCCTGTTCGAGGGGGCAATAACTCCCTTGGTTAAAATCACGAATTTCTCAGAGATGATGGGCATATGTTAAGGGATTTAGAGACAACCTGTCTTGCACTAACAAAGTTAGAGCATAAGAAACAAAAAATAATTAACTAACATGAGTATAGATTAATCATAAGAAGACTCATTCTGTGGACGCACCTATTACTTTGGCAGATCTTTAGTGTTTGGCTCAGATTTGCTGGTGGCGCAAAGATCAGATCTTGGATTTATTTTGAATGGCTTCACCATTGTTGGATGCATCTTCAGTGTTGGCTGGTTCACCGTTGTCGAGCAAATCTAAAGCTGATATCTTGCAACGAATCTTTCAACTCTTTCACTTCCTGATTCTTGTTGTAATTTTCAATCCATTCCTCGCCTGAGCGAAAAAGTAAAAATATTAGAAATCTAACATTGAGTACTGTACAAAACAGTTACAAGTTAACTTACTGGCTTCCGTCAAGTCGATCCTGTAACTGCTGTCGTTCATGATCTCTCTAAACACAAGAAAGATAATTTTGCCGTTCACGACATCTGACTTGATGGTCTTCAGGTCATCATTGCTGAAGTTGGCGAGGTATTTCTTACGCAATTGTACCCGCAATCTGTTCCCCAGCGGGGAAAGTTGCCCGTCGTCCTTCGCCGTATTGTGGGTGTGATGTTGCGTTGAAAGTCTCCACCTTATACGGCTTGTTCTTCTTGAGTTGACGTATTTGTGTGTAACAGATCCATTCCCTGTGGGCGCTTTTCATCTTCTTGTACGGCCTCTGAAACACAGTTACAGACATTTCAAATAGATGTATACAAATGGCGAAAGGCAAATCAGTGTGGGAGGGAAGGGTATGGATATACGAGAGCACTTATGGACAGGCAGAAGTTGAGCACATGTATGACGTGTTGGTTGAGAACCATGTCAAAAAACCATATACAATAACAAGCTGGGCCCGCTCTTCCGCCAAACCAAGTTGCCAGCTCCGCTTCGCTCCACCGGCAACTCGGTTCGGCAGGGAGCGGGCCCAGCTTGGCCTGCCGGCGGCGTTTGGGACGGGCCTTCGGCCTTTCTGATTTTTCATGGTGTAATAAAGCTTCCATCGGAAAACGGGCCTTCGGCCCGTTTGAATGACAGCTCGCTCTGAACCATCTTTTTGCCAGGTACCTTTGCTGTCTACTTCTCAACAAACGAAGCATTCTTTTCAGACGCTGAACATCTTTGGCTATGTGTGCCGCAGTTTGTTGAATACATGCAAGTTATGCCAAATCCCTTCTAAGTTTTTGATGTTAGCTTATGGATCCAATAACACACCTTTGAAAAGATATTTAGGACGAGGCCCAGAAGAAGTTAAATACACTTCCAGGCATACTCTGAAATAACTTCGAACGTGTCCGCAAAGATTTTGCTTTAATAAGTGATAGAGCGGAAGCAGCATGTGAAGTACAACAAAACAACAAAATAAATGTTTTTTTTTTTTTTGGTATGGGAGTGTACACATTTTATATTAATGATGTGCCACCATAAAATAAGCCCACTCTTCTGCGAAAATTTTGAACCGACGGCATAGGCTACTTCTCAGACAAAAGTGTACCCCTGAAAAAAATGAAAAAGATTCTGTTTTGGCTATTTCAGTAAGAAAAATTCGCTGTTGTAAGTAAACAGTGAAAGCCAAACCGACGACATTCTAGCCCAGAGGGTTCTTCTTTTACGATTTACCCCTTTGAAGACCATCAAATATTTTCTTAAAATAAAAAAAAATATTTTTGGGCTACTTTTGTGAGAAAAACTCGGAAAAACTCCATATCTAGCGTCTGAACGGTGAGAGATAGAGCCAAACGGAAGAAATTTTGGCCCGAAGGGCTCTACTTTAATAAGTTACCCCTTAGGAGACCATCAAATATTTTCTAAAATTGATATATTTACTTTTGGGCCCCTTTTGTGACAAAAACTCCCTCTAGCGCCTAAACGGTGAGATATAGAGCCAAACGGACGAAATTTTCGCCGAAAGGGCTCTACTTTCTTAAGTTACTCCTTAGGAGACCATAAAAGAAATATTGTTTCCCTACTTCTTAGACCACCACCTATTTCTTTGTTACCCCCTTAGACCCACTCAGGGGTGGTTGACAGGATTTGCACCAACCGTTTCGTTGTCCAGATAAGACAACAATAATACCCTGAAAATTTCAGACCTCTAGCTCACGTCCTTCTTGGGGAACGGACAGACAGACAGACAGACAGACAGACACAAGAGCGATGGCATAAGCCCGCTGATATAGCTTTTAAGCAAAAGAGCGGGCTAAAAAGTTGCTGAAGTCTAGCATGAGTTACTTAGGAACAGTAGGTAGCGATAATTGTTAGGGTAAGACACATTCGTATTGGAAAGTAAGTAATATTGACTAAATATATGTTTTCGGGATCAAGCATAGTGAATTCATGTGTTTAGATTATAAATTTAACGTAAGATAAATTAGGAAATTGAAAAAGAGAGAAATGTCTTGAAACTTGACATGTGCTTAAACCGTACCATGAAAATGAGTTCATGTGACAAGAAACTACTAATCACAAAGACAAAAGCTACAATGAAAGGGAAAGGTTGTCGAATTCTGACAATGAATGAGTAGTAGTAAAGGTACCCCATTCTGACAGGCCGCCACCTCAGCACCCCATTCTGACGGTTTGCGAAAATTGGCGAGGGGGACCCCTGAGCGGAAAAAGGGTGTCTTTTGGGGGTCTAACCCAAACTTAACTTTTGGAAGGGTGTCTTTTGAGCGTCCAACCCAAACCTTATTTTTTCCAAAGAGTCTCTTTTGAGTGCCTAACCTAAACCTAACTTTTGGAAGGGTATCTTTTTGACGTCTAACCTAACCTAATTTTTTGGCTGAGCGATAGCGAAGCCTATTACTCCAGTGATGATCGAAAAGTTTCGCGTCTGTCTGTTGGTTTGTCTATCTGTCTGTCTGTCGGTCTGTAAGCACGATAACTCGAGAACGGTTTGAGCTAGTAGGCTCAAATTTTTATTGTAACTTTGTATCATAAAAAGCAAGAACTGTATTGATTTTGAGCCCTTTACCTTAAAAATTGACCCGTCAACAAAATCAAAAACGAAAAACCCCAAAACATTACTTTTAAAAAATCACTTCTTTTACATCTTTCTAACACGTAACTCGTCAAAAAAGAACCCGCAGGGCTAAAATTTTGACCGTTTGGCTCTATCTCTAACCGTTTAGTCGCCAGAGGGCGATTTCCGCACGAAAGTGACCCCAAATCATTTTAATGTTGTTTCTCAGATATTTGATGGTCTCTGATGGGGCAACTCGTCAAAATAAAATCCTGGGGGTAAAATTTGTGTTCTTAGGAGCAGAAGGCCTATCTACGACTCTGCATTTTGCCCGAATCGGGTGTCAGCGCCGCAGGCCTAGGTAGATGTATGCCAGGCGCGTCGCAGCGTAACAGTGTTTCGTGAGATATCGCGAAGCCTGTTACGCGAGACGTGTTCTGGCGTACATCTACCTAGTTCTATAAAGGGTATTTTTCGTGTATAATACAAACCTTATTTTTTGAAGTGGGTATGGGTGTGTAACATAAACCTAATTTTTTTGGAATGGTGTCCTTTGAGCATCCAACATAAACCTATTTTTGAAAGTGTCTTTTAGGTGTGTAACATATACCTAATCTTGAGGCAAGGACGTGTTCGGACTCGTCTCTTGAGTGTGTATCATAAACTTGTTTTTGTCGTGGACGAGTGGGAGGAGGGGATGTTCATGTTTCCCGAGCTGCTCGCAGAGGCGTAGAAGACATTTGTCGGGTCAAACCTTTTTTCGAAGACTATCTTTCGAGCGACAAACACCAACCTAATTTTGAAGAAAGGACGTGTTCGGAATTGTCTCTTGTGTGTGTAACATAAACTTATTTTTATAGGGGTTGTCTGGAGGGCGACAAAACCCCACCTAATTATTGAAGAAAAGTAAAAAAACTGAAGCCGGGTAGAATTCGAACATACGACCTCCTCTTCGACCGAGGCTCTCTGAACACTGGGCTATCGATCTCACCTTGAGAGGGGCATATCTGTTCTAGGTTGAGATTCCACTCTTTACATTTGTCACATTTTATTTTATTTGCTTTTAGTATGTTTTCATAATTTTGTGTGTGAAATCGTTATAGAAGTTGGTATTCAAACCACAAACCTGTGGCAAATGGGAAGACTGTCGTTAGTCCACTTATGTCACAAAGTGACTTTTTAACGTATTAGTATTCAGCCGGTCTAGCTCTACAATTTACTTTTTATCAAAAAAACTTGTCAGAGGCATAGTTTGGGAGGTAGATAGTGGTGAAATTTGTCGTAACTCCAAATTAGAGGTTCATTTTAAAGCAAAAAAGGCGCAAGTCAACTTACGCCACTTGGCTTGAGAAACTTTGCAGTATCAGATGTCGTAAGTCAAGTTACGCCACTTTACCATATTATCAATTGAAATTTTAGTGGAACAAGTATACTTACGACGTTATGCTCAAAAAAATGATAGTTATTCCATTAATTTTTTTTTTTTTTGCCAGTATCCACTAAGCCCGTCCCAAAGCTAGACAATGTGCGCCTAGCATATGTTCAACTGTCCAGCAGTATCCTTGTCTTCATCTTGATGGGAAATTTGTCGCAAGTGGACTTACGTCTGTCTGCCACAAAACCAGTAGAATTTCATTTGTCATGAGTGGACATACGCCACTCTCCCCCAAATTAGAACTCAAACCTTTTTGTCGTAACCCAATTTTGCTTGTGGAAGATCACTACTAGAAGGTGAAAGAATTTAGACAATTGCCTATATATTCAGAAGGTCTACGCTTACATTTTAAATTGTTTTGAGTTTGATATAATGCGGAAGACGTTTTCTCTGTTTCCTGAAAACTTAGTCCAAAAAACTTACGACAGTCCTCCCATTTGCCACAGAAACCTATGCGTTGGGCGTTTTGCTGTGCACAGGACAGTGTTTGGTGTGTGTTTCCACCGTCGCTCACTGGCAATTTTGGAAGCGTATCCAGGCGTGGACACACAAGAGTACCAATGTCTATGACACGAGCGTTAGGTACTATGCCCTTGGAGGATTGCCCTCTCCTCTCCCTTCACATACAGATCAGAGTAAACAATTGTTGCCAACTGAATGCAGTCGTCACACTGTGAGTATGGCAGTCAGGCCATTCCAAAAAAATGAAGTTGTCGGGTCGGGGTTCGGGTCTAAAACGATAGATTTTGACTAGAAGTAACATTTGGTCTTCGTCCGAGGTCTCTGCGACGAAGCGCCAATGAGCTGATTGGTCTGTTCGAAACGCCCTTTTTTGGGCGCCCGATTCGAGGCGACATGTTGGAGCGCTCGCTACGCGCACCCCGAGGTGCCGACAAGTGTGACTCACTGCTGAGGTAGGTCCATATGACCCCTACTTCCAGCCCGACCACCAAAATCCGCTGTCGGCCTGCCCCCGTCACATGCAGGGGCCTAAATGCCGCGAAATACGGCACTCAAGATTGCCAGAAGAAATTCCAAATTAAGTGAGTGATTTTTTCGTGCCCTTATGCCGGGCAGGCTATGACCTTTTGATCGCCGTATGGCATGCCACTAACACTCGTCGGTTGTGGGCGTGAAATAGAAAAAGTGTCAAAAAGGTGAGAATCCGCCTGCCAGGTAGGCAGCCGCATTGCATGTGTGTATAGGTGGTGCCTAGGTCGGCCTGGAAGTAGGGGTCATATGGACCTACCTCGGCATTGAGTAACTCCTGTCGGCACCGCGGGGTGCGCGTGGCGAGCGATTCAACGCGACGCCTCGCATCGGGCGCCCAAAAAGGGCGTTTTGAACAGACCAATCCGCTCATTGGCGCTTCGTCGCAAAGACCTCGGACGAAGACCAAAGGTTACTTTTAGTCAAAATCTATCGTTTTAGGCCCGAACCTCGACAACTTTTTACTTTGGCCTCCAATTTGGAATGGGCTACTTCACATCGACCTACGGTTTATCAGCATTACTAAGCATTTGTAGTTGCCGTTGTCTTGAGATTTTGTGTTTTTCTAGGAAGTTTATCCTAAAAAGCTTGTGGAAGTTGGCTGGCAGAGACAGTTTGGTAGTGGCATTGGCTTCCAGAACATGGGCAATACCTGCTATATCAATGCTACAATTCAAGTTGGTGCATAGGTCAAAATTTGATACTTCACTTTTTTTCCCATTCCAAACTTTACTATAGTATTGTTCTCTGAAAGTTTTAAAGCTAAATTCTAACGTGCATCTCTCTCTCTAGGCACCTTTTCATATTCTCTCTTTTGTGGAGTGGATGAAGCCCACAGGAAGGAGGAACATTCCCAAAACTCATGTGTGACCTGCAGGCTTGGGCGTACTTCCATTGAGAGCCATAACAAAAAGTAGTTCGACCTCGAAGGATTGTGGATAATCTCTACATTGGGTTTAAATCTATTATAAATGTCACCTTTCTTAGCTACTGAAGGCCTTCAAAATATGTTCTTTTTGGCGAAATTAATTTTCTAGCTTATTTTCCAGTTATTGGGAATAACTTTGTAGAGGGAACTCAAGAGGACGCCCATGATTTCCTGAAGTCCCTCCTGTCTCATATTGATAAGTAATTTTTGCCTCGGCCTGGTTAACCCAGGCAGGTTTATTGGCTGAGCGATTAGCGAAGCCTATTACTACGTCTGGTCGGAAAAAACTTTTTCTGTCTGTCTGTCTGTCAACACGATAACTCGAAAACGAATTGAGCTAGCGACCTGGGATTTTCAGGATCGTTTAGTACGATCTAAAGACAGGTCAAGGTCGAAGATGAACATTCTAGCTCAAAAATTAGATTTTAAAAAAAATCTAAAACAACGGGTCCCAAAAATGACACTTTTTGAAAATATTTTTTGATGGCTTTCTAGGGGGTAACTCACGAAAGTAGAGCCCTACGGGTCAAAATTTCGTCTGTTTTGCTCTAGCTCAAACCGTTGAGGCGCTAGAGGGTGTTTTTGGCGAAAATAAGCGAAAATAGTACAACCCTGTATGCTTAGTCAAGGTGACGGGCCGTTGACGGGCCGTAGGCCCGTATCTTTGTGTACATTTCCCAACTACCCGACTCGGGTGTCAGCGCCGCAGGCCATGGTAGATGTATGCCAGGCGCGTCGCAGCGTAACAGTGTTTCGTGAGATATCGCGAAGCCTGTTACGCGAGACGTGGTCTGGCGTACATCTACCTTGTACTATATAAAGACAGATCAAGTACGAAGATGAGCATTCTAGCTCAAAGATTTGGTTTAAAAAAAATCGAAAACAACGGGCCCTAAAAATGACGTTTTTTTGGAAATATTTTTTTATGGCTGCCTATGGGGTAACTCATCAAAGTAGAACCCTTTCAACGAAAATTCCCTCCGTTTTGCTCTAGCTCAATCCGTTAGTTTTCATGGCTCAAAATAGTTAGGTGTATTAACTATTTTGTTTACAAGACTAAATAAATTTAACATTATTTTAAAATCTGTTTGCATTCTTCTATCTTGCATTGATTTTTTAATGCATTAGCTATGTAGAATTTAATGATTTACTGTGTAGAATTAGTTTAAATTTTGATTAGAAGCACTTAGGCCTGGAAATTTTGTTTGCCTAGCTCTGTGCAAAATCTGGGCGGTGTAGCTTAAACGGTTCCGGAGGTATAAGCATTTGAAGATCACATTTTTGCTGCTTTTATGTTTTCTTACTAAAAATTGTCCAAACAAACGAAAAACATAGTATGGGCAGCTAAAACTTGTGTCAATCTTAATCTACATATGTACCCAGCAGTATGTATCGCGCCCAGCGATATTGGTGTGTACCACCTAAAAACATTCCCTTGTAAGAGTAACATGAAGATTAGAATGTCAGCTAATGAAATGCTAGTTTTTGTTCAGCACTTGCCTATTATGATCGGTCATCTAATCCCCACTGATGATGACCATAGGAAATTGTTGTCTATGTTGTATGACATCGTATTGTTTCTTATGTCAACTTCATTTACAAGTGAGAATATAGATTACATGAGTAAATGGTGCTGAACAATTAAGTAAATTTGTTTGGGGAGACACTGAAGCCAAAGCATCATCATCCCTTACACTATTCTAGAATAATTAGATTATGCTGCCCTCCCATTCATTTTTGGAGTATGAGGTTTGAGTCAAAGCACAGATTTCTGAAACGGTATTCTAATGTATGCTTTTCCCGAGTCAACCTGACATTGTCCATTGCTCTTGAAGTTGAATTAAACTTTGCCTTCAGGGTTGTCAATTCTCTTTGCCAATTCTCACTAATTCAGTAGAATAAAATCACAATAATTCAAACCAATTCAAAAACAATTCAACCAAATCAGTCCAATTCAAATTCAATTCAAGCTAATTCAAATTCAATTTTTGGAATTTGTACACCCAATTCAGGAGTTATCCACCCCTCGGGTGGCTTGCAGTTTGTATGCTTCAAGTTAACCTTACTGACTCTTGTCTATCATGCTGTGATGTTTGTTAAATTATTGTTGAACATTTTGTCTGTGATTCATTTGTTTAGTTGCATGCAGCTCTCAGTAACTGCAATATGTTTACATTTCTAGTCATTTATCACACATTTGTTCTGTTAAGATGGTTTTTTTTTTTTGTACTGTGGGAAAGTATGTGAATAAATACAATTACTATAAACACCGTTCTTACTAGTTTAAAACCTTATATTTATATGTTCAATTAGTAGGTGCAGAATACAGTGAATTACACAGTTCGGTTGGGCACATGGGAGAGCTGGGGAAAAGTTATGCACAACTCTAGGGAAAATAAGGCTCATTGCTGGGAGAAAATTATATTTGTGCCTAGCGTAAAATAGGAGCTTAGACATGAGCAATAGGTTCCCTAGTTACTATCACTAAAACAGTGTAAAGTTGAGTACAAATTATCACTATAACTCCAGCAACAAACATTTTTATCGATGACATTATAGTGTATAGTTCCGGGGACTAAGGTCGGTGCACTAAACCCGTTTAGCTCCCAGCGCTAAACGGTATAGTGCAACGAAAAAACTTCGGTCTGGGGACTAGACGTTAAGTGCTCGGCCAGATTTTTTTTTTTACAGTGATAGCTTCTCTGTATGACTACTGTGCCACCTCCACAATAATGGGCCCCATACGCTTCTCTGCTCTGGTGATGGTTTTGGCAGTAATTGTAGGCAAGTTAATGGCTAAAAAAAGCTTGTTAAAATGGTCGTGTCCAACACCTGAGTCCACACATCCTATAACAAAATGGTAAGAAAAATAACATGTCTTGGACTAATGACAATTCGGACTAATGGTTTGGACGACGGATTCTCTTTCCCCACGCAAAGCGTGCATGACACCCAGGGCAACATACCGATTTATGGCACACAGAGGACGACCATCTTGGGTGCTGCGGGTAGCAAGTTCGCTTGTTGACACTTCTTTATCGAGCAAACACAGATGACAGCGGACGAGGAACTTCGAGGCCAGCCCAATACTTCTTTCTTTCTCAGCAAAAGCGAAGGCTCAAGTCCCTCGTGAACACTGACATGTCAAGTCTATAATACAGCGCCCAGCCTCACACATCACAGGTTCAAGTTCCTCACTGATAGCTTTCCTGGCGCGCAAACACTAGACCACTTATCTTTCATGGCCTTGGCAACCTTCTCCCTGCGTGCCCACTCCTTCGGTTTCATGAAGGGCATCTTGAATTTGTGAAATAGCACTGACTAACTAAAATATGGACAGACTTGTTGATGTTGACGCAGAGGGACGCGGCTGGAGATTGAGTATGGCGGCCAGCGCGGCGAGGAAGGCGACGCGGTAGTGGTACCAACATCACAGCGCGCAGGTCTCTCTGTGTTCACGAAGTACTGGCCAGTACGAAAAATTTTAGTCCGCCATTAGTCCGTTTTCTATCCGGAAAGAGTCCGCACCCCTGTAGACCAGTCCGCGTTTGATCCGTCGTGCACTGGACTAGTCCGCTTTAAGTACCCCCGGGCGTGCGGACTAGTCCGCTTTGAGGTCGCAGCGGCCAAGTGCGATGCCGGACCAGTACGCAGACAGTCCGTCCTCAGCGGACCAGTCCGCGGACAGTCCGCCCTCACCGAACTAGGTCACTTTCAGTCCGCCCCATGCCCCATGACGGACTAGGTCGCTATCAGTCCTCCAATGGCAGACTACTGTCGGACCAGTCCGTCCTGAGTACCTACCGCAGCGGACCAGGTCGTTTTCAGTCCGCCCGGGAGCAGAGCACAGCACTGCTTAAAAAAAAGAAAGAATTGTCCGGAGCGAATCCCGAAACAAGTTTAGAATGATGTAACTTAAGAACTTACAGGAATTTTGAGCTCAAATTTTATTAGGGCCATCTACACTCTATTTTAGTAGGGCCATTTTAATTTTATTGAAAACGAAGCAAATTTTTCTGGGAACTTGTGAACGGCTTGAGCTGGGTCAAAACAGACAGCGGATTTGGCTTCGCCTCTTTCCTTACACTCAAGGATTAGTTTTCGACTTACACTATCCTGATATTTTACTTTATTTAGCGATAATTGGCTGAGCGATTAGCGAAGCCTATTACTCTGTCTGGTCGGAAAAAACTTTTTCTGTCTGTCCGTCTGTCTGTCTGTGTATCTGTCCGCACGAAAACTCGAAAACGAATTGAGCGAGCGACCTGGGATTTTCAGGGTCGTTTTGTATCATAAAAAGACAGATCAAGTTCGAAGATGAGCATTCTAGCTCAAAAATTGGATTTTTAAAAAAATCGAAAACAGGTCCTACGAATGACGTTTTTTAAAAATATTTTTTTTGTGGTGTCCTTAGGGGTAACTTATCAAAGTAGAGCCCTATAGGCAAAAATTTTGTCCGTTTTGCTCTAGCTCAAACCGTTGAGGCGCTAGAGGGTGTTTTTGACGAAAATAAGCGAAAAAATGTACAACCCTGCATGATT